AAATGTAATTTTTTTGCAAATTCTTATTTGACATGTACTGTGTATGTAAACTTAAATATAAAACTATCTAAGTGTTTACATTTTTACTAGAAACGCTATGGGATCCGACGTGTATTGAAAAGCTGCAATTTCCGAATGATGGAACATCAATTTTTCTCATTGAAATTAATTCATAGTTGCATTTGAAATTAAGAATGCGATGAAGAATATTATAGAATAATGTTTGGCTAAAATCAACTTATATATCACTATATATTAAACCACCATTTTTTTTAAAGATTATATAAAAAAAGAATTTTACAGCAATGATTCATTTTAATTTTAACAGAGTGATTTATTTTAATTTTACCAGACAAACATTTTTAAAATATATAATTTTACAAAAAAACATTTCAAATAAAAGTATGATATAGAGGAGGATATCCCTTTCTACACTACAATTCGATAAGTATTTGACGTATAAAACTTAAACACATAAAAATTATATTTCCTTTCAGGCAATTGTGGAAAGTAATCAAATTACAACGATTAATAAATCTCATAAGTATGTCGAAATATAACATTATATATATGTTTCTTCTGTAATGTTTTTTAGTAAAATTGCATATTTTTGAAATATTTGTCTGTTAAGATTAAAACTGAATCATCCTGTATAATATATTAATGAGACTTAAGCTAGTACAGGATTTTAATTAATATAAATTGTATGAATATCTTAATTCAACCGACATATAAATACAGAATGATGATAAATTTTAAAGGTTATTGGAGTAATAAAGAAAAAGAATTTTCAATAACAACTTACAGTTTTGATAGATCCGGAGAAATAAATAGTGTTTTTTTCTTACGCTTCTCTCTCTCTCTCTCTCTCTCTCTCTCTCTCTCTCTCTCTCTGTCGCTCTATCTCTCATCTCTTAGTCAGACATCTGTGAGCACATGAAAACCACTTGCAATGTTAAGTTCTGCCTAAGTCCATCGGGAAGTATTGCGGCGTTTAATTGTCGACAATTCCATAGCATCAACAAAATTTATCTAGTTTTGTAACGTGATTTTCAGAGATTAATTGTTGATAAAATGATAAAAACTAGTTTGTGTCGCTACAATTTGATGAGGCCTGATGAACTTGGCAGTCGTTATCTAAGAGTACATTTCGTTTACAATGGAATATAAAATAGTAAGTCTGGAGTCACACATAGAGTATGTCTGTGGTGAAAATGAATAAAAAAATTGATGTAATTTTTAATATATAGAAAAAAGCGCCCTGTGTGAATACCCGTGGTCCGTATTTCAGTCATATTTAACGCACAAAAATCGTGATAAGTGTTCTAGAGTCCAGAGTGAGGCTCGCCGCATATATACTCAGTCGTTTATTTCTTTTTTTTCCTGGGCTTGTCTTGGGGTGCCGGCAGATTCTCCTTTCGCTTCGACGTCGGTTTCGTTCCTATATTGCTGCCCTTCTTTCTTCTCTCCTGTCTCTCGCGTTCCTCAAGTTCCTGATTCTCGCGTTCTATTAGGGTTATCAGAGTATTGCAGCGACGCTGCAAC